CTGCGGTGCGAAGCCAGCGGCCCCGCCTCACGGGTTTGCAGCCCCCCCAGCCCTGGGAAAGGGTTGTGCTGGAAATGCTCGGATTTGAGAGTGTTAAAGACCCGCTGGTGCCACGCAGAGGGTAGCGAAGGGTTGTATTTCCCTCGCGTGTGACTTCGTTTGAGTCGCACCGCTCAAGTGTGAGTTGTGCGAAACTTCGGCCTGTGCAGGCCCCACCGGGCCTTGTTTCCCCAGGTGCGAGGGCACATCCTGCTGCAAAGCAGGGCTGAGCAAACCCCGCCGTGCTAACAGCGCTGTCACACCTGCAGCAAACTGTTCCAGAGGCTGTGACACTAACCAGGGGCTGTGTTCCCATCTCCCTCAAATAAACTACTCCCAGCTCTCTCCCCATCCCACCGCTCTGGACTCCCCTGTCGCACAGGGCATCCATCACACGGTGCCACCTTTCAGGCATGCTGGTTGGCAAGGCACACGGGTAGCAGTCACATCTGAGCTCCCCTGGAAGTGGCGCTGAGCTGGGTATTTCTCCTCGGTACATGATGGCTGTGAGACTCCCAGGTTCCATCAGGTTTGGCTGAAATTTTACAAATGGGCTAAAAGGACAAGCAAACAGAGGAACAGGCACCATCAGTGTGTGAGCCTTGTCTTCCTAGGAAGCCAACTAAAAATGTTTAAAAATCTGCAAAAGACTTCTGAATGTGGTAATAATTTATTACAGGCTCAAGAGACAGGTGGGGAAAAGCTGGAAATTTTTGAGGTACTGTAAATAAGTGTTCTATAAACATATGCTGAAATACTGCCTCTGTTGAAGTGAGGGAAATATAGCCATTAATTTCAAATAGGGCCAGGATTTCAGCCCAGACATTTGAAAAGATAATGTTAGGCCTTAAAAGCCAACTTTGGGAAAAAAGAGTGACAAACCTGGCTGTACTCCAACCAGATGCAAAGAATTCCTGGCAGAGAATTTAACAATATTTTTATTATACCTCTTACCAGAAGTTGGACCCACAGTTGCTGTTATGAAAAGCAGCTACATTTTTAAGCTGTTGTTCCGGGGCAAATTAAAGTTATATTATATTTCATCTGTTTTTCTGGACTCTTCGAAAACATGAAAAGACAATATTCTTTAAATAAATTTATTTGGCTGGGAAAGAAAAATTAGTGTTCCACTCCATGCTGAAATAATGTTAACTTCTAGTTCTAGGAAAGCTCCCCTGAGAGCAGAATTTTATAAAGTTTGTTCAGTCAAAATGAGCAAGGGCGACTGGCAGTCTAGACAATTGGTTACTTATATTAAAAAGTTCCAGCTGACACAGGTGTTGGATGTGCCACTTGGTTCTTCCTGCCAATTCTGTGGTTTAATAATCATCTGGACGTGTTTTAAAGCGTGGCTTTTTTTCATTGCATCAAATGAATATTCAAAATTAATAGTCAAAACAATGAACATTAAATATTCAACCAGACAGGACCCTAAACAACCTGCTCCAGCTGGACCTGCTTCACACAGGAGATCTGACTTGAGGCTTCTGAAGGTTCCTTCTACCCTGTATTATTCTGTGTTCAAAGCCTCACAAAAGATAGACAGGAAAGAGAGCACCTGTTTGGAATTAATAAATAATTAATCTAACTTGACACGGTGCTGTCAAATGCAAAATTAAGTAATTTTTTCCCTAGTATATTTTCTGTTCCTAAAAAAGAATTACAAAAAGTCGTGATCCTCATACATGCATTAATTTATTACTGCTTTATAGTTTAATGCACAATCCATTTATTCCAATATCTTTTTTCATTGAGCTCATGATATTACATAATTTAATGTATTTTATCAGTTGTCTTAACTATCCACCCATTTAAAGACATATATTGAGTCACATTGTAATAGTTATCTTGACTGAAAAGACTCTGCTTAGATACGAAAATGGATGTTGGATGGGCTTTAGATTAATCTGCTGACATCCTAAAATAAAATCTTAGGCATCAATGACTGAGACTGCTAATGAAATAGGAATCTTAACTTACTGCCTTAAAACAGTCCTGAAAAGTTCAGTATCCCCTACTTTGCATTTCCAGAAATGGAACTATATAACGTCTTCTTTCACAAAGCCCAAACAAGCTTTCATGTTGTTTGATTATGGTTTGTTTTACAGACTATCACCCAGCCCTCCAGTTAGAATTCATTTGGGTTCTGCTTTTTAAAATAATTCTGTGGTTATCTGTTCAAACTGATAATAGAGAGCATGAAAAGGGTGTCAATTTAGGGATTATGGATTACTTTATACATGCAGCTAGTTAAGAACTGTAATAAAATGCATGAGAAATTGAGAACCTGGTTTTTAGAGTTCTTAAGGCACAAAGAGACAAATACCTGTCTTGAAAAAAAACGGGTAGTAAATGTGCAGAAAGTGAGTAAAGCTGATGCAGCATTGAGGACTGCAAGCTCTCAAGATCCCACCAGGACCTGTTTTTTGTGAGTGTATTATTTTCCCTTTTTCTTTACTCCTTTTGATCTACTTTTAATTACCTAACCTCTTGCTTCAAATGCTATTCTCTCTACATTCAAGCCTTTCATTTTTCTGTTGTCTTCATCTCTGTTGTCGTTACATCTGAAGGTAAACAAAAAGACCATCTTGAACTGCTTCAAGATCTTATTTGTACAATATCCCTGACACTATTTCTTGACTAAATAATTGTTCTACAACTCAGTTAAAATAAACCAATGTTTTACATAATTTTTCACTTGCAACTTGCAAGTGGCTTAAGCAGTTGAAGTTAGCAAACTGTAAATTGGCGTGGCAGGGATTTAATAGTGCCTTTTACCTAATATTAAATAGCTCAACTTTTGAAATCTTGTAGAAAAAACTCTTGGTTTTATAAAGTGTGTTCTAAGCGTTACAGTTAAATTATGTCTATTAGAAAAAAACATTCCTCTGTTGCTGTCTGTGACTTATGAGACAATCTCTCATTCTTTCTGTATAATTATTTGCTTTCCACTGAATGAGTAATCTCATTAAAATCACCAGGACTACTTGGATTCTGTTCAGAAAGGGTAAGGGCAGGGAACTATGAATAAGGGCAGACGATTCTTGGGTTATTGGTTCCGTATGCTGGTTCATTGTTTGCTGGTTTTGTGCTTATATGTGAACATTCACTCTTGCATCCAGTTGTGTGAACGGAGTCAGATTATTTGGATGACACAGGGCTTCACAATGGAAATCAGGGCTCCGTAACGTACTTCTTTAATCAAAGGCATCTGTGAGCACATGAGAGATTCAGCTGTGGGCAACAGGCCTTAATTTAACCATTATAACACAAACAGATATGCTCCTGACCAGTATTCAGATCTGGGGGAAGGTAGAAACAGGTCAGTACTTTGCAGGCCCAGGCTGGGTGAGAAAAGATACATTGTCCTCTGCAAATAATAGGACAGGAAATCTTTCTGTGGCTCGTGCCAAAATTGCAAATTAGGGTTAATTAAACATTCTAATTAATGTTCAAAGTTGTCATTTGAAATATGTGCTTTCTAAATAGAATGGGATCAAACAAAATAGACCATTGAAACATACATAACTTACTTTAAAATATTTTAGGATCATTAGCAAAGTGTAAAGGAGAAGCTACAATCAATATTCTTATCACTAGCTAAGAAACTCCACAGGGCTGCAGCAACTGTAAAGCTTATTTATTTTTCTAAAGTTTATTTAAATATTTCTCTGGAAAGCATCTTTATTTTTTTTTAGTCAAGCTCATCTGGTTTTCCCACTGAAATGAATCAAACCTGTATTCTACTCTGGTGTGTATGTATACTAAGAGAGTTAAGATATGGTCTCTCTTATAGGTGTTAAACACATAACAAAAACTGACCTGAAAAAAAGTTCAAAGTGGGGTTTTTTTTTGTGGTGGTGTTTGTTTGATTTGGTTTTTTTCTTAAGCAGTTTTCTGAGTTTGTTTGAACCACAGAGGCTGGCAAATATCAATTGTAGAGTTCTTACTTGGACAAATGCTGGCACATACATAAGTTCAATATCAGTATAGACTTATTTTTCTCTAAATGATGCAGTTGGATTGAATAGCACCTTGCCATATACAGAAGATAATTTTAAGACAGGAGAAACAATTTAGTGCTCTGAGGCTGTGTCTGAAATACCTTGACTTTCTGGAACCACAGATCTGACCTCTCTCAGGGCTGACTGTGCTTCATAATTTTTAAAGCACTCTAATAAACTGGATACCATGAAGTTTACTGTGGTTACCTAATGTTAAGCATTCATGTGGACAGGAATCCAAATAATACTTTTCATACAAAATTTGGGAGCTTTGGGGGAAAAAAAATTATATTTTTTTTGCCAGTTGTTTTACAGTGTTCTAATTTATTGTATTGCTAGTCTGTGCTTCAGAAATGCTGCATTACATAGTTAATTGTACATTAGTAATCATGGAGCCTTTACATAAATATATATAAAAAATAATTACAAGTTTTCATTGTGGAACTTCACATGAAGGATTTGCAAAGATGGAGCAAGAGAAAGTCAGCATAGTTTACCCATTTATCGGCAGAGGCAGACATAGGAGTGGGCCAGTACAGCTTTGGGCTGCCTTCTTACTCTAAACTCTCATGTCTCCACTTGTCTGCTAAAGCCTATAGCATTCATTGTGTTAAGTACACCTTCACATCTTTAAAGTCATCTTTAGTGACCTTCCCCTTCAGTGCGACCTCTTCTGAGCCATATTATGATTTAATTAATATTTCCTTTAAATTGACTGTGGTTTTAGGAGCAGCTGTAAGTATTCAATGCAATATGCAAGGACAGCTGTTTTTTTTCTCCGAGCTGTCACAGCTGATATTGAGAAGTATAGACAGATTGTTTAGTGAGTGTCTTGAGTGGATGACTTTCTGGCTAAAAGTCTTAATGGAGTGCAATGAAGGCAAACAAGATGCTGTGCATAGCTGTTTTGTTTTCTGAGTTTTCTAGTTTGTGAACGGCAGGAGATGCACAGTAGAGTCTTTGGAATCAAAAGGATCTCAGTAAGACAATGCCCAAGCACAGAGGAGGTTAGTAGAGAACCAACTGTCCTTATCTTCACAAAAATCTGTACAGGAAGACATTATTAATTTACATGAGATTGATTTTTTGTGGTAATAAAATCCAAGAAAGCAGAGGGTGGCTATCTCCTTCCAGATATATATGGATAGTAAATAAGGGAAACACAGTAGAAGGCACAACAAAATAAAATTAAGTAAACTTAATCCATTTTTGGTATCTTAGCTAGGCTGCACTTTATTATGTACCTGTGCTTTCATCTTTCCTTAAGCCACCAGTGGGATGACCGGTAGCCAGGAAAAAAAGCAGCCAAATGGAGAAGGAAAAGACAGGCAAAGGAAACTGACAGTGTCAGAGGCTGTTTAACCTGCATAATCAGGGTGGGAGAGAGAAGAATGACCAATGGACCTTATGAAACAGTTGGTCTGCTTCCCCGTGTTTTAAACATTAGCTTTCTAAAGCAAACTTACTCTACAGGGAAAAAACATTCTGTTGAGAC